TAGCTAGCCGCTTGCTAACTGTTAGCATGTCAGCTACGAGACCGCGGTGTTTCCCGGCTGATATGTCCGGGATACCCTCACGCCTGCTCGGCCTGTTCAGTAACCGCGGGGCGTGTCGAGCTCCGGGGCCTACACAGCCTGCTCCCCTGACTCGGGGCGGACAGCAGCGGGAAACACGGCGACGGTCCGGTCGACTTTGCTCTTCGGGGACACGACAAAGCTGCCGTGCACGGCGGAAACTCACCCTCGGCCGCCGCCGAAGCTGCCGTAGGCCCGGTCCCGTTCATCGTAGTTGTCGTAGTCCGCCATTACTGCTGCTTGTGTGTTGGAGGAGGAGGTCCTACACGTCACACACACAGCGGGTTTAGCTGCCCGCAGAGCGCCTGACCGGTAATATCACACACTAACTTCTTTGAAACTGATTATGTTTTTTTTAATTCAGTTTGAAAAGAAATATTTATAATATAAGTAATGAAAACACAGCACGAACGTGAAAAACACACAAAACTAAATGGAATTGTTAAAATAAATACAAAGTAAACAATAGTAACAGTTGTTAAAATGTCATAATCCTGAAGCCAATAAAAGTTCGGCCCGTTGTTGCCTTTGGATCACACTAGTGATGGGAATTCCGGCTCTTTTTAGGGAACCGGCTCTTTCGGCTCCCAACCGGCTCTTCAGGTTGTTTTGTTGCTTTAATTATTTTATTATCAACAATAATATAAAATTATGCCCAAAAGGAATTATTAATGTAAAAAAAACCCCATGGTTTTTAATATATCTATATATATAAATATATATGGTGGCCCCTAGAGACAAAGCACGCGCAAAGTCCAAAACGCATTTCTAGAGTTAACTGAACTTCCAAAACAGAGCTACCTAGACCACCTAAATTTACCTGTTACTACCACACACCAAATACGGTCGTTGGCACTTCCTGGCTTGTGTAGCCACGAGGTAACAAGAGCATCTTGAAGCACTTCTGTTGTGTCTTGTACATGTTTTGGAGTTTGTACGTGCTTTTTCTCTAGGAGCCACCGTAAATATACTTTTATTCATTCACTCCACATAAAATGTAATAAATGAATTATATAATACAAAAAAACTATTTACTTTTCAACTTTTAACTATTTAAATTTTCAGCTTTTTCCTTTTAAACAAATTTAAAATGAAATAACACAAAACCCTGCAAACAACAACACAATTAAATATAAATTAAAATATGAAAACAAAAAGAAGATGCACATTCTCTGTCATATGGGCCTGTATGAATAAACTTTCTGAATCCTTTA